GGGCAGCAGGTAAAGCGGTTTCAAACTGGGTCATTTCTCCAGTGTGGATTGGACCTAAAGTGGCTGCATCTGTACTGCACGAAGAGTCCGGTTCCATGCCGCTCTAACAGTACTATATGGGATTCTGGGAAGGGCGCTCCAAATTGCGCGGGATGAACCCATGATAGTTATAAAGTGGCGTCAAACCGGGCTATTTGTGCAGTACAGATGCAGCCATCCTCGGTCCAATCCACACTGGAGAAAAATTGGGATAACAACTCAGGGCTAGGGAATCCTGGGAAATTGTAGTGTATTGTGGCACCTGCGCTCTCTCTGACAGAGAAGGCTCAATGTATGGAGCCAGAGCACTTAAAGTGGTGTCAACCCGGATTAGTTCTGCAGTGCGGACGCAGCCTTGCACAGACAATTTGCCCAAATGTGAAAGAAAACCTATGGAAGGTTGTAGCCAGGTCTACCCAGAGGGCAACCCTGCTGCTGAGCTGAATGGGATTTAGTCCCAGGCCAATGGCCAGCCTGCCTTCTACTAAAAAAGAGAAAGAAAGAAAGAAAGAAAGAAAGGAATTTTTGGAGAGAGAGGAAAAGGAGCCCAGAATAGAGCAGCTTCATTCTTGAAGCCAGATGGGCAGATCCAAGTCTCTGCCTCTTTCCAGTTAAGATGGAGACTGGATTGGAGGAAGGAAGGTATTCAAGGTGATAGTCAGGAGCAGCAAGAGAGAGAGAGAGAGAAAAGGATCCCAAAAGGTGCTTTGAAATGAAGAGGAGGGTGGAAATGGTTGCTATCTATGAAGAAAAGATCCCTGGGCTCAGATGTCCTGGCTGGTTTTGGATTGACTTGCATCCTGCTTTTCTTCAGCCAGGCTGCTCCCCTCAGGATTAACCGGAATAAAAAGGAAAGGGGAAAAAATGGTACAGATAGAAAGAGGTGCATAATAATAATAATAATAATAATAATAATAATAATATATCTGTGGTTGTTGTTGGGTGTCTTCAAGTCGTTACCGACTTAGGGTGACCCCAATCGTGGGGTTTTCTAGGCAAGGTTTGTTTAGAGGGGGTTTGCCATGGCCATCCTCTGAGGCTGAGAGAGTGTGACATGGCCAAGGCCACCCCAGTAGGTTTCCAAAATGCCCGAGCTGGGATTCGAATCCTGGCCTCCAGAGGCACAATGCAAATGCTCCAACCACTCACTACAGCACACTGGCTCACTGTGCAGATGGAAATGCAGATGAATGGAAAAGCAGGGCTCAGGAAGAAATGGACTCCCTTTATAATGCTTTCTCCACTAGTAAGAAGTCACTGGAATAAAAGAGGATTAATGGGGAGGTCACTCCAATGTGGACCGCCAGCTGTAGGAGAAGCCAAGGCCAAGGCGCCTTTTACCAGTTGGCGAGAAAAAGAGCCTAGCGGGCAGGGATTGCTTTTCTTGCCTCTGTGATAAGCCACTTCTCTCCTGATCTTATATCCCACTTTCCTCTACTGAGCTTAAGGAAGAATGTAGGTCTCTCCCCACCTTTTTATACTGTACTACCAACAGCCCTGTGAGGTAGGCCAGCCTGGGAGAAAGAGAACGTTTTTAGATTTTTTAGCCGCCTTGAGTCCCTGTACTGGGAGGAAGGTGGGATATTAATAATAATAATAATAATAATAATAATAATAGTTTGTGGCTCATCCAAAATCACACAGTGAGTTTTATAACAGTTGGTCCCAGCCTAACACTCTAAAATACTACACCACACTGCTCTGAAAAGTAAAATTGCAATATCTTCATTGACTATCATTGCCTTTCTTGGCTTAGACCTTCCTGGAAAGTAGGGAGCTCTACCGCCTCTGATCCTGAACCTTTCCCATCTCTTCGTTTTCTCATTTGGAACCTGGCCGTGGCTGCAAAGTAAAACCGTTCTTTACAGAGCTGTTCACTAATCGTGATTTAATTATTCAGGGCTGGGGAAAAAAAATTGGGATAACAACTCCCAGAATCCCCCAACCAGCATGGCCACTGGGGGACTCAGGGAATTGTTCCAAAATGTACTTATTTTTATGAACCCTTTTCATTTCTTCCAAGGCCAGCTGTGAACCTGGAGCTTACAAACCTGGGTTAGATTCAGCTGTGCAAAAAAAGGGAAAAGGTTCAGTTGGAGGGAATATGCCATATAAAACTTGTTGGTCCTGGATTTTACTCATTTTTATGTAGAAAGCAAATTTAATGGAGTCTAGTGGTGGTTTTATCTAGTGGACCCGAACAACCACTTTCCTGGAGTAAAAATTTTTCAGGCTAAAAGCCATTTATTTTTTCAGACATCCAGGGCAATGGGTGGATGAGGTACTGGTTTTTCAATATCCTACAATGAGATGGACAATTTTCAACCCCATTCTCATTAAATTATATTATATTCTGCTTTTCTACTAATTGGTGGTTGTTGTTGTGTGCCTTCAAGTCATTTCTGACTTAAGGCGACCCTGTCATAAGGTTTTCTTGGCAAGTTTCTTCAGATGGGGTTTGCCATGGCCATCCTCTGAGGCTGAGAGAGTGTGACTTGTCCAAGGTCACCCTCTGGGTTTCCATGACCCAGCCAGGATTTGAATCCTGGTCTCCCAGTGTCCTCCTATTCCAATGCTCAAACCACTGTGCCACACTAGATCTCATATTTCTGCCTATATGGGACACCAAATGACTTGTTTTATTTAAAACAAAACACAGCTGAAACCAATGCATAATGCAATAATTAACTCTATCATAAAAAAAAATCAAATTAAACATTCATTTACAAAAGTGAAAACACATCCAAAGCATAACAAAAATACAGCATGCCCAGTTTTAAACCCCTTCTGCCCCAGTCAGTTAAAAAACTTAAGATCTTTAAACTGTATTGTATAGGACCCAACCTAGATAAGGTGGAAACAGCTGTGAAGAAACCTAGGATTAATTCATCTTTTCCTCCTTGTTCAAACCCAGTCCACTGAAATATAGCAAAACCACACATATTTGTATACATCCCTACCTGATCCATGACTTTGTTTAAATTGTTCTTTTTAATTTAGCCCTGATTTGGGTTGCATTTCCTTATCAACACAATGATGGGGATATTACTATTACTCAGAATGAAAGAGGACAAATGAATTCATTCATTATATGAAAGCTGGAGATCTAGGATTTTCTCAAAGGAGCTGCCCTCTTGTTCCTTGAACAGCAGCCCGACCTGTGGAAATGTATTGGCTAAGATTTTTAGCTTATCTCCATGTTGGTTTAAATTTCCACTGGCATTATTTTGGGGTACCAGGCAGCAGGTGAAGGTGTGGAAGCAGGACTAGTTTGGCAAAGAAGAAAGGAGGAGGGAAGTCATATTGGTGGACACCCATATTTGTGCTGCAAAAGATTGTATGAAGCCCATGCCTCCAGAGAAGAAAAATATATTTCCATGAGTGATGAATTCAAGAACTCTTAATATGGATGAATTTGCCCTCAAAATATTTTACATCCACCCACCCATCCCAGTTTTATTCTCCATCACACACATTCAGTGCCTTTCGCCAGGTAGAGCAGAAAGTAAATCCAAAGTGAGACCTGGAAAAAAATGTTGCAGTGTGAATCATAGAATCATAGAGTTGGAAGAGACCACAAGGGCCATCCAGTCCAACCCCCTGCCATGCAGGAACTCCCAATCAAAGCATCCCCAACCGATGTGAAGTGCTCCTTGTCATTGTTCTGGTTCGTCTGCCAACCAGCCATGCTCTTTTCTATAATATTCCATCCCATTTCTGTTCATCAAATAATATTCGGTGACACCAAGCACACTCAAGTTCTTTTTGGCCTTTGTGCCATGTCCTAGAAGAATGTATTCCTGACATTTCACCTGCATTTGTGGCTGGCGTCTTGTGAAAGCCTTCAACTTCACATCTTTTTGGTCTATTTATTTGTGGAGGAGAGAAGGAACTATCCCCCTTCCACAAGATTTCCCCCTTACTTCTATGAATGTTGCCCCCTACTCACCAGTTGATACCTTCCTTTTGCTAGTGCACTCTGTTTTTAAAAGCCACAAACCACTTTTAGACCCCACCGGAAGGAAATTGTGACCAAGAAGTCCCATTCATTTCAGTGGGTTTACTTAGTAGTAGTAGAAATTAAGATCATTTTGTGCTGAACCGGGAGACAGTACGTAGTTAGGCTGAGTTTAAATGTTACCATGAAAAAAAGCTTGTCTATATGGGCTCATGTTTTCCAACCCAGCCCTAACATCTGGTTTGGTGCATCAGAAAAAAAAAATATCAGAGAGGCTAGAGAGATGTCTGGTCAGCTGATGGGAAGAGAGGTTTGGACGCAGCTATAGTTTCATCTAATGGCTGTTCCGTCCATTAATAAGAGACGCAATTTGATTAAGCAATAAAAATCCTTCATTCGCCCTCTTGACTTTGTCTGAAGAGCCACTTAGTTTTTTCCCCCCCCCACCACCCCTTTGCAAGATTTACTATCAAAAGGCATTAAATGAAGGAGAAGGCTGCTCCCTCCATGTACTGCAGTCTGGACAGATTGAAACAATACATTTACAAAGGATTAAGAATATGAGCTTTTGATTCCCCTCCTGCCAGCAATTTTTTTTTCTAAGTAAATAATGCAGAGCTAGTCTCCTGTGCTAGTAAATAAAGTAAATAATGCAGATCTAGTCTCTTCAGAAAGCTAGAGTGGTGTAGTGGTTTGAGCGTCGCACCATGATTCTGGAGACCAGAGTTTGAATCTCTGCTCAGCCATGGAAACTCATTGGGTGACCTTGGGCAAGTCACACTCTCTCAGCCTCAGAGGAAGGTAAAGACAAACCCCCTCCAAACAAATTTTGCCAAGAAAACCCTATTACAGGTTTGCCTTCTCGTCACCATAAATCAGAAATGGCTTGAAGACACACATCAAGTCTGGGTGTCTGCATACACGCACAATATGACAGCTTGGGGGGGGGGGGTTCACAAGTGCAGTTGTCAGCTGATCCAGGATAAATGAAAAAATGTACATTTTTATTGTAAAGTGTTTAAAATGTTTTTATCTTGTGAGCCACCTTGGGTCCCTTTCTGAGAGAAAGGCGGCATAAGGACGAAATAAATAAATAGATTTCTATGTATAATATTATGCATATAAGTAATATATATAATAGATGACTGGTTAATTTATGGATTTTAATTGCCACAAGATGTAGCAATGGCTGCCTACATAGTTGGCAATAAGATGAAGGGAGCACAAATTTATGAGGAAAAGTCTGCCAGTGCTGTTGGCTACAATAAAGAAATTGAGCCTCTCTGTTCAGAGGTACTGTATCTCCACTAGTGCACAGGCACCTGGGGGAAGAGTCCTTCTTTATGGGCTTCTCAGAATCACTTGGTTATCCCAACATTTCCAGCCCCAAAGTCCCTGGATCTGTTGGTTTCCAGTTGTCATAACTCTAAGAAACTTGGGAATTAAAGTCCAAAATCTGTGAAAGGCTCCAGACTGAGGAAAGCTGGGTTTAGACAAACCTTTGTTCTAATCCAGCCCAGAGCTCTTCCTTTGTGTGAGTATCTCACACTACTTCATACGAAAACACATCCTGGTGAAGCTTGGTATTTTAATACCATCTTGGCATGCATTGCGTCTTGGAAAAAGGCAGAACACAGTGTGGATCTCAGTATGGTAACGGGTCAGTTGTGACTAGATTGTGAGTTGTCATGAACCAGGCTAAAAACCTGCTGATGCAAAAATCTCCACAGGCAATTTTGGACATGTTGCTATTCTTGTCTCAGTGACTGTGACTACCACCATTTCGTGTCATGTAGAGATATAACGCTACTGACCATCTTGGAGGAGTTCTGTGGCAAGAATTATGGAGATAATGCTGGAGAAGTGCTTTGGAAATTTGGCAGATGCTTTGTTAATGTTGTATGTTTATTATTACGTATTAAAAGGTACCATAATATGTAAGATGCTTGACTTGTAGTGCATGATGCCCTATGTAATTGTTGGTTGGCTTAACTCTTTGGCTGTATCCACACTGCAGAAATAATCCAATTTGACACCACATTATTTTTGCAGTGTGCATGCAGCCTTTGTGGCAGATCACGTTTGTTACATATTGCTTTTGGGGGGGACCATCTCCTCTCTCTTTTCCTCTCTCCCCCTGAATTCTCCATTTTCAAGATGAGTTTCACCTCTAATCTGGCTCTAGCTGAATCCAGTGTTGTCTTAATGAAACCTTCTAATCCTTGTTGCCATCATTTACCAATAAGTCGGCTCATGTTTTTGGGGTCAATTTTTTAACCTAAATTTCTAGACTTATACATAAGCATATACAGTACTTATTTTTTATTTTAAATTACCTAAGCCATTTTTCACAAGGGATCCAAGGAATGCTATATATAATATCATTAAAAGGCAAAGATAATAATAAAATTACAGGATAAGAAACATTAAAAACTGATCAGGCAGCAAACAAATGAACCACATCAATAAAAATAAAAAATAAATAGGGTGCGCCATTTAAAAAGGTCAGTGGCAATCATATTTTCCTTTGCAAAGGGTCTTGTAGCATCTTTGAGGGTAAAGGAGGCTGCATTCGCACTGCATAAATAATTTGGTTTGACACTACTCCACTTGCCATGGCTCAATGCTATGGAATTCTTGGAATTGAGCAAAGCTCTGGTGCCACAACAAACTACAATTCCCAGAATTCCATAGCATTGAGTCATAGCAGTTAAAGTGGTGACAAACCAGATTATTTCTGCTGTGTGGATGCAGCCACAGAAAAGAGAGAAGCTGATAGTTTTGTAGACTTATGCTACCAACTTCTTTCTTTCTCTCAGGGCCTTTACAGACGGGCATAAATAATGCCGCTTGAGGCCACTTTAACTGTCCTGATTCAGTGCTAAGGAATCATGGGAACTGTAGTTTATTGTGGCACCAGAGCTCTCTGACAGAGAAGGCACAATGTCTCAGAAAAAAATACAATTCCCATGATTCCCTAGCACTGAGCCAGGACAGTTAGTGGCCTCAAGTTGCATTATTTCTGGCAGTCTGTAAAGGCCCTAGTGCTACAAGATCCCTTTGCATACTACTGATCCAGACAGCTATCTCAGATATTTTCCTTTGGGGAGCAATCAGAGAGGAAACCCTCTTCTTGGAAAATTGGTTCTTCAAAAAGAGCCTCCTCTGGAAAGCTGAAAGCATGGGCAGTCTCCCAATACCTTGCACTGTAACCCCCATCAGCCCCCAGCCAACACAGCTGCAGATCAACAGCTGCATCTTGAAGGGGCTATACTAGGGAAAGCTGGTATGAGAGAGGTGGTACTCCTTCAGATATTTGGGATCTCAAATGTTCAGAGGATGCAATGTGATAATCAGCACTTTAAATCCAGTATGGTACTAAGTAGAGAGCCAGTGTAGTGTTTTAAATAATTAGTTTCACATGGTTCCATATTTGTGAACTGGAGAGAATTTGAGCTGCTGGATTCTGCACAAACTGAAGCTTCGAGGGCACCTGATGTATAGCATGTGTTACAGTAATCCAACCATGTATGGGCAGGAGATTCATTGTTGTTGTCGTTGATTCTCAATACAGTTTATAATTTGAAAACACAATACAGCTAAAAATATACAACATTAAGTAAACATTAAAATAGGGTTAAACTTTTGACAATATTAAAATGATTTTAAAAACCACGCTTTAAAAAGATAAAATACAATTAAAAGATTAAAAGATAAAAAGCTGTTGAAACAGTGCCGTCTAAAACAATCCAGCCAGCACCCTTAGCCCATTCTTTAAAAACCTTTAGTTTTAAAAGCTTGCCAGAATAAAAAGGTCTTTGCATGCAGAGCGAAACAGGGAGTGGACCATTTTTGCCTTCCTAGGAAGAACATACCAGAGAGAAATCGGCACCTTTATTAGAGGAAAATCCTTAGAATATGCCATGATATGGGTTAGGGGAAACAAATTGTTGAAAAACTACCATACTCAAGCTTTAACTAAAACCTGTCAATAAATATGGAAATAAAAAGAAAGGCCCACAGATTGGGATTGCTCAGTATACATTCCAATCTCCAAGAAAGGGGACACCAAGGATTACAATAACCACCGGATCATCGCATTAATCTCCCATGCAAGCAAAGAGATGCTCAAAATTCTGCAATAAAGACCTTTACCATATATGGGATAAATAGTAATCCATCCCCCACCAGCCCAAAAATAAAAGAAAGAAAAAACAAAACACACAGGTAGGATAAATAGATTTACATTTTGTGTGGGTGCTTAAATGTATGATTGAGTGCTTGTGGATTTGGGTGATTTCCAGCGACTCTAGAGAATACACACAGAGAGAGACATGTGTCCTCTGCCAGCTTATCAACTCAACAGATATTACTACTATTTTGCCATTAACCGGCTTTCATCTTAAGTTCTGCTATAACTGTTGGGACTTAGCCCATCATTTTTTCATTCTCTCCCTCAAAGGGAATAAACTGCCCCCCCCCTCAAACTTTCTTTAAATATAATAATTCAGCCAGTTATGGCTGTATGCAGGACTGCAGCCATGGTGCATGCAAAAAAATATTCAAAGCAGTTTCTGCCACTGTCCTTCTGGGCATGCATTTTGCAGCATGCTTCTGTTTGCTGTGCCTCCCTAGTGCTTGCATGCAAAGTGTAATAGACACACAGACATACACACAGAGCCAGCTGTTTCACATGTGACAGAGCACACCCTGTGTATGCAAAGCAGTCCTCTGATGTGATGGAGTCCCTGTGAGTCCTTTTAAATAGAAATTAGTAGGAAATGTTTGCATGGAAGAAATAGCACAAGGATACTCCAGCACATAAAAGTACAGATTGCTACCAATATGCTTTTTGCTGGCTCCCAGCATCTAGGAAGTAATTGCTAGTCTGGATTTCACAAGAAACTTGATGGTGTGTGCAGTGGGTTTGTTAAAAATGGGATTCAGTGCAGCCTTTGAAGGGCCCAGCCATAGAGGAGGCTGTTATCTGTGAGACAATGGTGCAGTCAGGTAATTTTAAGACTTTGGACTTTATGGAGTCTTTCCTCCATCTTGACTCTCTTTTGGAACTACAATACCCAGAATCCCTTAGCCAGCATGGAGAGAGTGCTGGGAATGAATCAAAGTGTGCACCAGTCACACCATTGGAGAAATGATCTTGGGCTGGGAGAATCTGGGGTTGCAGTCCGAAAAGGTAATTTTATAATTGTATAGTACTTCACCTGCTTCAAAATATGATAAACCAGCCCATGATGCATGGCACTATGATTCCACTTTATTTGCCATGTTTCTATTGTATGGAATCTTTGGATTTACAGTTTGTTGTTGTTCTTGTTGTTGTTGTGTGCCTTCAAGTCATTTCGGATTTATGGCAATCCTAAGGCTAACTTATCATGTGATTTTCTTGGCAGCTTTCTTCAGAGGGGGGTTACCATTGTCATCCTCTGAGAAAGTGTGACTTGCCCAGGTCAGCCAGTGGGTTTCCATGGCCAAGGTGGGATTCAAATCCTGGTCTCCAGAGCCATAGTCCTGTGTTCAAACCACTACCATGCTGGTTCTATGGGATCCTGGGATTTGTACTTTAGGGAGAGATATTTAGAATAATCAGACAGAGCTCTAGTGTCTCAGCATGCTACAAATCCCAGGATTCCATGGGATGCTGCCATGGCAGTTAAAGTAGCTTTCTAATTGTGTATCATGAAAGGGCTTATAATCCAGCAACATCTGGAAGTACAGTGGTTCCTC